GTGATTAAACAATTAGTTTATTAATGAGCTACTAGGACTTGTGACTACCTGCCGTATATATTTGATACTCATTCTACCTATCACTGATCTAGTTTGCTGTTCAAACTGACGATAAGGTTGGGATTGTGAATTACATCTGGCTGTCTCGACAGAGTGATATCATTTAGTTTGACCGGAGCTTTTATGATACAGGTATATAATAGATGACAAGTTGCGGGTAGACCACGGATGTACAGGTGAATTTGACCACCGTGGAAAATAAACATAACCGTGAATACAGATAAATGTACCTTGATTCTGCTTAACACCATCGGTACAGCAGAATAAGAGTTACTGGTCCCGTGTTATGTCCGATGCTCATGTCAGTATGACCCTTGGTAGATCTAAGATAGTAGTACAAAGTCTGTTAGTATTTACATTTTCCAACTGAAAAATAACGTGCAAACTGTTTGTAAAACCTTCATAATGTTCTCAATGTTGATAGTATCATCCACATGTCTCAGTTACGAACATCACCGAAATGCTAACGACAATTGATAAAGGGAAGTTCAACTTTACCTATCTTCTTTTCATGTACCTTCGAATCCAGTTTACGATTGTCTGTCACTCAAGAATACATTAATATTATCTGCAATCGTAAAATAACGTTTGAACTGTCATTTGAAAAGACGTTGAAATGTAAATGTCGCGGAAATAACTAGTGTGTTTAAATTAATTGAACTATATATATAAATATATTCACTGAATTTGGTTAAATTGGGCATAACCTTTGCTTATCTTATGCTACCCTGTCAAGTAGCTACTTGTACAAACTGCTTACTGCATACTCATTTCGGGAAGTCGGAATTCATGACATTGCCAAAAAGAAATTTAAGATATGTTCCAGGTTGTTCACACGAATGACTGGCGTTGGCGATCACAGGTCTTAATTGTCTTCTTTGTGAAATGATCTTATCACCACATTGTTCAAAGAATATTTTCGTTGAATTTCTTGAGTTATTCTTGAGATGTGCATGTCACCGTTAAGCTATTCTGTCCGTTGATTACAAAATACAATACTTCAGGGATTCGTGTTTTGTCTCTATTGGAACTGTTTCATAAATAACTTGGTATAACTGCTTGACATTGATCCGTCAGTCATGATGATAGAACCCGCTGAACTATCTCATGTATAAAGACTTCATGTCCGTCGATTTGTTTATGCACTTTCATACATTCAGGCTTTAGTTGGGAATACACTGACTATCTACCGCTCTACAACAGATATTCTACCTTGGCTACGTGAAATGCTCGATTTTGATTTGTCAATCAATAAAATTAGACGCTATCAATTTTGGATTGAAAATTCGTCTGATTTCATGACCGCTTCACTGCGCACGTATACAACACTGCCGCATCAGCTTGACCACCAACATGACTAATATCAAGACGTGATGGGAATGCTGATAAAACAGTTATTAAAACTCGAAAAATACAATTATTATATGATTTTTCCTCCACAAATATTAGGGAACCTCACTATCATATAACCGTCTATAATAAAAATATTCAAACTCACTTACAATACACAGCCCCAAACATAAACAAACAATATCTAACATGTAAATCAGAAAGCCTTGTAAATTTCATCCCTATCTATACAAAATGTGCAGCAAATTCTCACTAAACATGTACCTACCTGGTAAATGGTATATTTGTTTCCGTGTAGAATCATAAGAATGGGAAATTCGCAAGATAACGGTCAGGCGAAACACAAACCACCAGAATTCCACTCTCTGCCAGCTTCCCAGCAAGGCTGTCACTGCTGGTGATCTATGTTCGTACACTTTGACAAAAGTTTGGCCACAATCCAGTCCCAAATGATGAAATCAATGTTCCAAAGAATCCCAAATTAGTCGCTACACGTTCGGTTCCAAATGAAATTTAGAGACTATCATTTCTGCCTAACATTCATCTAATTTCCCAACACAGTACGTTTATCTCCTAATTACAGGTCGTTGTGGAAAGCAGGTTAGATGTTAATGGTTGGATACGAGGCTGAACATAACTTGTGATCGTTTGCTATGACACAAAGTAGACGTGCAAATACAGAGCTGTGACAGCTGATGACACCCACATGTGAATTAACTATACGTGACCATTGACGTATTTTATCAATAGACATTGTGTGTGTGTGTGTTTTTCTGTTATTCGGGAAAACGAGTCGGTATTTTGATCACTATACAGCATTGTGCAATGGAATATTGTCGCCTCAAAGCTTGGTCAGATCACGATTGGTCAATAAAGAACATTTTGTACTCTATAAACATATTATAACGAGATTCTCAGTTATTAAGTAAGCCTTTTTATCACATCATTCACATGTCATTTCTCTTACACTGCTGCAATACCGTGTTTAAGAAATGTATTATAAAAGAGCTTACAGTAGCAGTGATAGCTGTTTCTACACCTGCCTTGCCTGACCCACAGCTGTGTCCCATAACAACTCTAGGGGATGAATAATTTTACTTGTAAAGCAGGGATTGCAATTGTATGTCACAGCAAACTCTTGTACAAGAGCAAACAGACAACGCGCAGTTGCCACAAGACGAAGAGCCATGTTGTGAATGACCATAGATACGTTTAGAATCCGATCAATCAGAACAACAAAGGTATCTTCTTCTTTGAGTGGCATTTAGAAGTTGGAAAGTGCAATATAGAACACACTTTATGGATAACAACTTCTTTTTATTCGTGAGTGCGACGTTTCGATAAACTCAATGCATGCTTGACAACGGTACAAGAATCTGTATCGAAACGTCGCACTCACGAATAAAAAGAAGTTGTTATCCATAAAGTGTGTTCTATATTGAACAAAGGTATTAGCTAATATGTGTAATGATTCCGTCGATTCTTCCTGCTAGAGGATGTTCAGGGCCATGGCTGTATCAGTCGGTGGATTCACGTGTTGAGTTTATAAGAAAGTAATCAGCTTGACGTTATGTCAGATGAAACAAACACAGTCAACACAATTATACCATGAGGTCCCTGAAGTTTCTGTTTGTTTTTGTTTTGTTTCTTTTTGTTGTGTAATGCTGCACTCAGAAATATTCCAGTTATATGGCGTCAGTCTGTAAATAATCGAGTCTCGGTCAGACAACCTAGGGGTCAACAGCATGAGCATCGATATACACAGTTGGTTACTTTAATCAGCCAGGCCTGACCACCCGATCCCTTTAGTTGCCTATTACGACAAGCATGGATTGCCAAAGACCAATTCTAACCCGGATCTTCACGGGTTGAAACAGCTGAGGACAGTTGTGGATGCTGCGCCGTAACTAACAATACACAGGAGGAAACACCCGACTCGGTAATGGTTATGCGCGGGTCGATATATTGATGAGAGTGTTGAAACGCTACTGGACGTCTCTCATACAACGTGAAACATTTCCGGCTGTGAGCGCGGTTTCGGATGGGTTTATCAGACGCCTAAAATGTTCCCTTCATCTACGCTGACCTATGAACACATTCAATTTCCTTTTGAGTTCAACATGCGATCACAATCAACTCTTCGAAAGTGTGTTACACTGAGGGCCCGTGTTGCAGCCATGTGAGATGTAATCCTGCTTCATCTATGCATGTATTTAACAACAACGAGGAAGTACAAAGGTCATCACGTGGAGCCACAGCACTGTGTGTTGCTATTAGTATGCACGTGTTCATGCACGTGTGTACCACTCCGTTCTTCCATGAATTATATAAACGAAACCTATTAAAAGAGAGATTAGATAAAAACAATTAATTATTAAGACATGTATTTTACATTGGATTTGTTTCGTTTGCGTTTATAGGCCATCTTGCATATTTCATCTTGACGCTGAATACATATAATGATTATGAAGACTGTATGGAATGCCGGAACATGTTATCTTCACCTTAAGTCATAATCCTTGGAATGCTATGTAAAATAAGTAATTTTAAAACCTCTTTTCGGTCGACTAACGGGTGGTCAGGCTGGATGGCGTAGTTGACACATGCCATCGGTTCCCAGTTGCGTAGATCGATGCTCATGCCGTCGATCACTGGATTGTCTGGTCCTGGCCGATTATTTGCAGACCATCGCCATGTAGTTGGAATACTGCTGAGCGCGGCTTAAAACTCTACTCACTCACTCGGTCGAACTGACTTTGAAATATTAATTCATTGCAAACATGCAAAATACACTATTGCCAGACGTGAATTTAATGCGCTTTCTCGTCAGGCTATATTAGATATAACTTGGGCCAGGTTAGGCTTTTTGTGCAAGCAGTAACGTACCGTTGTGCAACGGTTGGATGTCTATTACACTGAGTGGTTGTATCTAAGGTGCCGTATTCTCATGCGTGTCATGTATATAACAACCACACATATATGGAGACAAATAACGTTTACATTACTGCAGAAACAAGGAGCCAACACAGACGGATACTAAAAACGAAGGCACAGAGACCTAGACACAAACGCACCTAAGCCAGCACTCACACAGGTATATTATAGATAACAGAGGTGACTCCATATCGTTATCTACGTTAACTGTGAGGTCTCCTTAATGTACCCATGTACACACTGTAATAACGCCATGGTGCAAGGGACGTTTATCACACTACATGTACTGCACGTACACACGAACATTTCTACACGTCCAAAGACAACATTTACGGGTAAAATCATCTCGGTATTTACCGTCTCATATCACATGCTACTCAAATAAAGTTAAAGAACATCTCCCAGAATTATTGAGAGAGGATGGCCTTGACCAACCAAGGACTGACGTCATGGTGGTTTCCATTTAACTCCTCACTAGGACCATAGGATTGCTTTTCGAGCGTTATTTATGTATCATCCTCGTGTAAATAGTGATAACATAACAACATTCCTTTCACAGAGAGCTGTCAGTGCACGTTCACCATCCTGTCGCTTGTACTTAGTCCTGTCAGATTTACCTCCCTTGCACTGTTCATGAAGATTCCACTACACTAATCAGAATCACATGCTCCCTGAGCGAGAACTGTATGTAAACAACTGAAGAGATAAAGACACGTGACAGCTGTGATCGGATGAAATAGTGTAAATCGTTTACGTTTTTTAAAAACTGACAACAATTTTAAATAAGTTTTGTTTGTATTTGTGCCGCTTCACGCTCCAGCAGCACTGCACTGTAAAACCCTTAATGATGATGGACAATAATATGACATCCTAATGTGTTTGTAGGTTTTTTTTCAGTGTTTACAACGTGAAATAATTACGCCTGTCACTCGGATTGTTAATGGATAAGAATTCATAATTCTTTATAAAATGAAGCATGACACTGCAAAGTTGCACTCCTCAGCAACTAATGGCTAGGGGCTAGGGGCTAGGGGCTCGGGTGTGTGTGTGCACTTATAGGGTGGACATACCGAAAACGAAAGCGTATCCGGCCCCACTGTTGGTTTATAGATAGTGAACGCAACGTGCTTAAGTTTTAACCATTGCGTTAATCAAGAATTTCACCGAACACGTCTACATTCTCTTATGGCCCAAATTAGGTGCTTAACTATCAACGACGTCAGCGGTTGGCGGGCCATTATCATATTTAAATATATCCGGTAAAATTATTAATATCAACAGGACCATCGGCGTTCAGACAGGCCACTTGTGGCTTCCACAACGTAATGTGGGTCCGAATTTCGTCTAAGATCGGCCTGGTAAAGAGATTATAGAGAATCTTACCCGAGTGTCTACTAATTTCAGTTATACTGCCATTAGACTTGCAGTGCCGCATTGTCATAGCATTGTGACGTCATCAAATTTATGACGCCATAGCATTGTGGGTCATGTAATTGATGACTCCAGGGTAGTGTTCAAAATCTACTGTCAAAACTGTTTTGTATTCTGGCATGGAGTAACAACAAGATACGATAGTGGGCACCTCTTGGACGTATTCTACTTTGGCCACGTAACCACATGGCGAGATACGTACATGGTTTAGGGATTTTTTTTATTGCCCAACATTAGCAAAATAATAGCGAAGTATTTTTTTCCTAAGAATTCAACGAGTGACTCTTTCCGCGAGTCAAGCAAAGTCAAAGACTATTGTGACAGAGGTATTAACATTGTGACGTCATAACTGTAAACCACTTTGACGTCATGCGTACGGCATCACGCGATGTTATTACACAATGTGTAATAACATTGTGAAATTATTAAACTGACTGACTGACTGAGTTTAGTTTTACGCCGCTTTTAGCAATATTCCAGCAATATCACGGCGGGGGACACCAGAAATGGGCTTAACACATTGTGCCCATGTGGGGAATCGAACCCGGGTCTTCGGCGTGACGAGCCAACGCTTTAACCACTAGGCTACCCCACCGCCCCGAAATTATTAAACAGTGATGTATCTTCAACGGATGCGTAATAACTCGTTTTATTACCCACGTGGTCAACGTATGGGTAGTTGCATACTAATCTCGTACGTCACACGAGTGTCGTATCGCGTTGACCTGTGTCGTAACGACTTGACTTGAGATTATAACGATTTGATTGGATAACCGATGACCTCTCAATTAGGTCACATTCTGACGTAACTATTTTTTACATTCATAACAAACACGTGAATTCATTCATTCTACAACTTATATGCATTGTGGGAATTTGAAACATTGCGAACGTTGCCGTGTCGCTGTTTAATTGTGAGTCGAACTGAGACATCATATCCGTCTAAAAACATAAACGCAATGTTTCCACGAGTGATGTTAGCCGAATGAAGCAACTGGAAACCAAGAAACGGGGTGCTACGGAGTAGTTTACTGTAGGAAGCTGTCCAAGGCGATGACAACTGACATGCATCGTGACGTCGGTTACCTAGGCAGTGACGCCATTACAGTGTGACGTCATGCAAATATTGTACTCCAGTACAAAACTCTTCCGCAACCTCTTTATGAAACCGGTTTCGGTTTGAAACCAAAATATTAACAAAAATACGTTATTTTGTCAATTTAATGCATGTAAGACGTGGGTCTCATTACATACGAATTATGGCTGGGCACAGATATCTCATTGTTCATGGGTAGTTTTACTCTGACCCTTGTTGAGTTGAGCTACTAAAGCCATAATGACATTGTAGTGGTACAATGTTATATGTGATAATGTTCGTGTTTCAAGTTTGTCCCCTGTAAATATGTTACCTTTCTTTGTTTTTATATATGGTTTGTCTCATTTTATCATTGTATAATCAAAATATAATTTATGGTACTTTCGCTCGGTCAGATACTATAGGAAGGACACTCGTTTCGTATAATTCGTATGTAATGAGACCTCGTGTAGTATTCTCTATTGATCTCACACAAACAATGTCTCCAGTGTAACACGGTTTCGGATGATATTTGTGTATGTACCTATGTACTTATGCATATAGGGATGTGTGTGTGTGTATGTATTGATGTATGCATCCGCGTATGCGTGTAGGTGTGCGTTTGCGTGTATGTGTGCGTGCATATGTGTGACTGTGTTGTAAGGGACCCTCCTCACATTCACAACATGCAAGCATGCGTGGATTATCCCTTGTGCTGTAACAGATCCAGAAATGTATGGGTACCTCCCCTGGGTTGTAAGAGATAATCCACGAAGTCGCACTTGTTCTGATATAGATTCACGCCATCACTACATGTATTGGTTGTCTCCCTTGTGTTGTCAAATACACACGCCATCGCTCCATGATGTTTGTTGTTTAACGCCACACCCAGCTATAAGACGGGGTTTGTATTGATTTGCGTGTGAATCACGATCACGTGTAACACCACGATCATCGATCGACGCAAATGGGTAGAGAGCCTGACCACCCGATCCCGTTAGTCGCCTCTTACGCCATCGCAACATGAGAGTTCTTTTGTATCTTCCCTGGGTTGTAACAGATCCACGAATATCGGTAGGGATGGGGTTGGTACGGATGGTGTTGCTTTGGGTGGGGTCGGGTTGGTGTTGCTTTGGGTGGGGTCGGGATGGTGTTGCTTTGGGTGAGATCGGGTTGGTGTTGTTTTGGGTAGGGGCGGGTTGAAGTTGATCTGTGTTGGGTTGAGTTGGTGTTGCTTTGGGTGGGGTCGGGTTGAGGTTGCATTGGGTGGGGGTCAGGGATTGGGGTTGCTTTGGGTGGGGTCGGGTTGGTGTTGCTTTGGGTGGGAGTCAGGTTGGTGTTGCTTTAGGGGGGTCCGATTAGTGTTGCTTTGGGTGGGGTGGGGTTGGTGTTGCTTTGGGTGGGGTCAGGTTGAAGTTGCTCTGTGTTGGGTTGGGTTGGTGTTGCTTTGGGTGGGGGTCGGGTTGAGGTTGCATTGGGTGGGGTCGGATTGGGGTTGCTTTGGGTGGGGACAGGTTGGTGTTGCTTTTGGGTGGGGTCGGGTTGGTGTTGCTTTGGGTGGGGTGAGGTTGGTGTTGTTTTGGGTGGGGTCAGGTTAAGGTTGCTTTGGGTGGGGTGGGGTTGGTGCTGCTTTGGGTGGAGGTGTTTTGGGCTTGGTGTTGTTTTAGGTGGGGTTGGGTTAAGGTTGCTTTGGGTGGGGTCGGGTTTGTGTTGCTTTGGGTGGGGTCAGGTTGAAGTTGCTCTGTGTTGGGTTGGGTTGGTGTTGCTTTGGGTGGGGTCGGGCTGATGTTGCATTGGGTGGGGTCGGATTGGGGTTGTTTTGGGTGGGGACAGGTTGGTGTTGCTTTAGGTGGGCAGGCTGGTGCTGCTTTGGGTGGGGTGGGGCTGGTGTTGTTTTGGGTGGGTCGGGTTAAGGTTGCTTTGGGTGGGGTAGGGTTGGTGTTGCTTTGGGTGGGTTGGGCTTGAAGTTGCTTTGGGTGGGGTCGGGTTATGTTGCTTTGGGTGGGGTGGGGTTGGTGTTGCTTTGGGTGGGGTGGGCTGAAGTTGCTTTGGGTGGGGTCGGGCTGGTGTTGCTTTGGGTGGATGCCGGCTGGGTGTTGCTTTTGGCGGGAGTCGGGCTGGTGTTGTTTTTTGGTGGGTGGGCCGGTTGGTGTTGCTTGGATGGGGTGGGGCTGATGTTGCTTTGGAGTCAGGATAGGTTGGTGTACACTAGGTAGTGAGATCAGGTTAAATTATTTACTTTGCTTAGGGAGTCGGGTTGTTAAGTGAGTTTTAGGTAAGAAGTCCAGGTTGGTGTTACATTTACCGGAATTAAGGTTTGTAGTGCCTTAGGTCAGGTGGAGTTAGTGTTACTTTAGGTGGGAATTAGGGTTGAAGTTGCTTTTGATGGAGTCTAGGTTGACAGGTATTTACTTGGGGTCAGGTTACAGGAGTCCCTTTGGTGAGTCAGGTGTGTTATTGCTAGGTGAGGTTGAGTTAAGGATTGCTTTAAGGAACAGGAGTCAGGTTTGTGTTGCTTTAAGGTGGGAGTCAGTTGAAATTGCTCTATGTTGGGAGTTGGAGTTGGTGTTACCGCTTAGGATAGGAGGTCGGGTTGAATTATTTACATTAAGGTGGGAGTCAGATATAAAGTTTGTTTTGGGTAGGAACAAGTTGACACTTTAGGTAAGTCCGGATCAGAGTTGGTGTTGCTTTGGGTAGGAATTAGGAGTTGGTGTTATTTTAGGTAAGGGTCAGGTTAAGGTTGCTTTAGGTGAGGTGGGACTAGTGTTACTTTAGGTAGAGTTAGAGTGTTAAATTACTGAGGTAGGGTCCAGGACTGGTGTTACTTTGGGTGGGAGTAGAGGTAAAGTGAGTACTTTGAGTTAGGAGTTCTGATTGGTATTGCTTTAGGTAGTTCAGGTCAGTGGTGTTGCTAGGTGGGGTCAGGTTGGTTATTGCTTTGGCAGGAGTCCAGGTTGGTGGTTATTTTAGGTAGGAGTCGGAGTTTATTGTAGTACTTTGGATAGGGTAGGAAGTTAGGGATTTGCTTTTAGTGTAGTCAGATTTAATTAGTTGGGTGGGTGAGTCAGGATAGGTATTTACTTTAAAATTAGGAATCAGGTTGGTATTTACTTTTAGTGAGGTGGAGTTGGTGTTGTTTTGGGTAAAGTCAGGTTAAAGGGTTACTTTAGGCTAGAAATTAGGGTTGAGGGATTTAGCACAGTCAGGTAGAAAGTTAGGGGTTAAAGTGCTGGTAGGAGTCAGAGTTTGAGGTGTTTGCTTTAGGTAGAGTCAGGTTGGTGTGTTGCTTTAGGTGAGAGGTCAGGAGTTGGTGTATTTATTTTGGCAGGGTCAGGTTGGTGTTGTTTTGGAGTAAATCAGGTTGGTGTTACTTTAGGTAGAATTGATTGAGTATTACTTTAGGTAGGAGTCAGGAGTTGGGAATTACTTTAGGTAGGAGTCAGGAGTTGTAAATGGAATTTAGTGAGTCAGGTTAGTGTTGCTTTAAGGTGGGAGTTGGGTTAGTGTTACTTTAAGAGTACAGTCAGTTTACTGTAGCTTTAGGCAGGAGTCAGGAGTTAAGAGTTGCTGAGTGCATTAGGAGTTGGTGTTACTTTGGTGGGAGTCAGGTTGGTGTGTTACTTTTAGGTAGGAGTCAGGTTGAGGTTACTTTAGGTGAAATTAGGGTTGGTGTTACTTTAGGTAGGAGTCAGGTTGGTATTTGCTTTAGTAGGAGTCAGTTGGTATTTACTCAGGTAGAGACTGGGGTTGGTGTTGCTAGGCTGGAGTCCAGGATAAGGTATTTACTTTAAGTAGAATCAGGTTGGTATTTTAGGTAGAGCAGGTTAGAAGTTGATCTATGTTAGAGTTGAGATTAGGTATTTACTTTAGAGTAGGAGTCAGGTTGAGGATTTACATTAAGAGTTGGAGTCAGATTAGGAGTTACACTGGGTAGGAGTCAGGACAAATTATTTGCTGAGTAGGGACAAGAGACTGTTACTTTAAGAAGTCCAGTTAGTATTGCTAGAGTAGAAATTGAGTTAAGTATTTACTTTAAGGTAGGTCAGGTTAAATTTGCTCTGTATGTTGGAACTAGGTTAGTGTTCCTTTGGGTAGGAATCAGGTTGGAATGCATTAGGTAGAAGTCCAGTTGGGGTTACTTTAGGTAGGAACAGGTTGGTATTTACTTTAGGTGAATCTAGGTTGTGTTGCTTTAGGTAGGGTAGAGAGTTGGTATTTATTTTAGGTAGGGAGTCCCGGAGTTAAAATTACTAGGTAGGAGTAGGAGTTGTGTTATTTGGGTAGAAGTTGGAGTTAAGGTTACTTTAGTGAGATGTCCAGGTTGGTACTACACTTTGGGTAGAGTCAGGTTGAAATTTACTCTATGTTAGATTTAGGTTGGTATTTACTTTAGGTAGTCCGTTGTTTATTAGGTAGAAATCCAAGTTAGGAGTTGTTTAGGTAGAGAGAAAGTTAGTATTTACTTTAGGTAGGAATTAGGTTGGTATTACTTTAAGGTAGAATTAGGAGTTAGTATTATTTATTTTAGGTAGAAGTCAGGTTAAAATTTACTTTTACTGGGTGAGGTTGGGTATTTACTTTAAGTGAGTTAGGTTGAAGTTGCTTTTAGTGATCAAGTTGGTATTACTTTGGGTGAAATTAGGAGTTGGTATTTACTTTAGGTGCAAATTAGGAGTTGAAATTACTTTAATTAGAAGTCAAGGTTGTTGCTTTAGGTGAGTCGGAGTTAGACATTTACTTTGGCAGAGATCAGGTTGGTGTTAGTTTGGAGGTAGAGGTCAGGTTAAGGGGATTTAGCACTTTAGATAGAAATTAGGGTTAGTGTGTACTTTAGAGTAGAAATTAGGGTTGAAGTTACTTTTAGTGTTAGAATCAGAGATAGGTTAACTTTACTTTTAAGGTAGGAGTCCAGAGTTGGTATTGCTTTAGGTAAGAAAGTCAGGTTCAGTGTAGCTTTAAGAGATAGGAGTCAGGTTAGGAGTTACTTTAGGTAATTAGAAGTTAGTATTTACTAGGTTAGGTAGGAGTTGAAGTTACTTTTGACTAGTCAGGTTGGTATTACTAGAGTAGGAGTCAGGTTGGTGTTGCTTTAGGTAGAATTCCAGGTTGTTAGTGTTTGCTTTAGCCAGTTGAATCAGGTTAGTGTTATTTTAAGGTGGAATCCCAGGTTAGGGAGTTGCTTTAGGTAGGAGTAAGAGTTGAGTATTTACTTACCGGTAGGAGGTCAAGGTTAGTGTTACTTTAGGACAGGAGTCAGAGTTGTGGATAGGTTAAGAGTCCAGGTTAATTGTTACTGCTAGGTAGAATTAGGGTTCAGTGTTACTTTAGGTACAAGTCAGTTTACTATGCTTTAGGCAGAATAAAGGTTAAGACTACTTTAAGGTAGAAGGTCAGGAGTTGGTATTACTTTAGGTAGGAGTCAGGAGTTAGGTATTGCTCTAGGTAGAGGTCCCGGAGTTGAGAGTTACTTTAAGGTAAGTGTCGAGTTGAGGTATTTACTTTAGGTAGGAGTCAGGTTGGTATTTACTTTAATTGGGAACAGGTTAGTATTATTTGCTTTAGGTAGAAGTCCAGGTTGGTAGATTGCTTTGGAGTAGGAAGTCAGGTTGATGTTTACTTTAGGAATTACGAGTAGGAAGTTGAGGGGTTACTTTAGGTAAGTCAGGAATTAAGTTACTTTATAGGTTAGAGTCCAGTTAGTGATTACTTTAGGTGAGAACAAGTTAATTATTTACTTTAGGTGAGAGTCAGGTTGGTATTGCTTTAGGTAGAAGTCAGGTTTAGTATTACTTTAGAGGTAAGTCGGAGACTAGGTATTTACTTTAGGTGAAAGGTAGAGTTAGAGTATTTACTTTAGGTAGAAGTCAGGTTAGGAGTTACTTTACAGGTAGAGTTGAGTATTTACTTTAGGTAGAGTTGGAAAAGTTTAGTGTTACTTTAAGGTAGGAGTCCCGGAGTTGGTATTTACTTTAAGAGTAGAAGTCCAGGTTGAAATTTACTTTTAGTAGAAGTCAAATTTAGGTGGGTTTACTTTAGAGTAGAAGTCCAAGAGTTGAGGGAGTTGCTTTAGGTAGAAGTCGAAGTTGGTTTTAACTTTAGGCAGGTTTGAAATCAGATTGGTGGATGGAGTTCAGGGTGTGAGTAGATTTGGGTGGAGTTGGGTTGATGTTGCTTTGGGTGGGGTCAGGTTGGTGTTGCTTTAAGGTGGGGTCGGGTTATATTAGGTTAGGTCTTTCGTTGATTTAGATGGGTTTGCTTTGGGTGGTCAGATTTGTATGGCTGAGGTTGTTTTGATGGGGTCAGGGAGTTTGCTTTGGGTGGGGTCAGGTTAGGTAGGGCAGTAGATTGTTTGGGTTGGGGGTCGGTTTAGTAGACTTGAGTTCAGAGCTGGTAAAGGAAGGGTTGTTTTAGGTTTAGAATGGGATTTAGCCAGGACGGTGTTGTTTTAGGGTTTTGGAGTGGTGTTTGGTTGGTCGGAATTGTATTGTTTTGGTTGGGGATCAGGTAGTACGGATAGGGAGGTTTGGGGAAGTTTTTATTTTAAGAGTGAAGTAGGGTTTGTAGGTGTTAGTTGGGTCGGGTTGAGCTTGGAGAGAATGGCCGAGGCCCGACAGAGAACAATCCTTGAATTTCATGACATAAGTACAGGTTAAACATTCTTTGCACTGTATTCAGATTTTGATGTATTTCCGCCTCAAGAACGAAACCGGCTTGTAAAAGAAATTTGAAGTTGTAAGGAAATAGTTTGAGACGAGATTAAAGACATGCATAGAAGAGTAGTCACACTGTGAGTCACTTCTGAGAGAAATCACACAACAACACTCGCACCCCTGATGTAAATATAACTTGACAAACACGTTCCTGACCTTCGGACCATCCGAACATTTACTACCGTCACTTACAGTTACTGTTGCTGATAGTATCAACAGTATTATGATCATCATGACAGCAGTATTATCAGTACTTTCTTTACAAACAACATCTGAGTTATATCGGTGTAACGATCAATTATATCATTGAAGGTCAGTACACCATCATCATTATCGTCATCATCATCATTAACGCCATCATCATCACCATCATCACCAGGAACAGCAGCAGTACACACACCACAATCACTACCCTGTTGTCAGTCATTAAGGACATGCTACTATTTATTTTCATCATCATCACTGGTTCTTACCCCTTTTCGCTTTCCAAATTAGTTTATAACATGTAACGTTTCTTTCATGCTTCAGCATGAATGACCGTTCTATACTACTTAAAAACATTAAACCCACCATGGATCCCCTGGCATGCAATCTCAACAATATGATCACAACAGGAAAACTGATCCTATTATGTGCCTACACAGAACGTACATTCTATACGAATCAAACAATACACAGAACGTACGTTATACACACGTCAAACCCTACACAGAACGTACGTTATACACACGTCAAACCCTACATAGAACGTACGTTATACACACGTCAAACCCTACATAGAACGTACGTTATACACACGTCAAACCCTACATAGAACGTACGTTATACACCCGTCAAACCCTACACAGAACGTACGTTATACACACGTCAAACCCTACATAGAACGTACGCCATACACTACGTCAAACCCTACACCAGAACGTACGTTATACTACACGTCAAACCCTACATCCTAGAACGTACGTTATACTACACACGTCAAGCCTCTACATAGAACGTACGTTATACACACACGTCAAAACCTACTACATAGACCACGTCAAACCACCATAGAACGTACGTTATATACGTCAAACCCTACACAGAACGTACGTTATACACACGTCAAACCTATATAGAACGTACATTATATACCATCGTCAAACCTTACACAGAACGTACGTTTTACACATCGTCAAACCCTACATAGAACGTACGTTATACACATAACGTCAAACCCTACACAGAGAACGTTACGTTATACCATCGTCAAACCCTACATAGAACGTACGTTATACACCCGTCAAGCCCTACACAGAACGTACGTTATACACACGTCAAACCCTACACAGAACGTACGTTATACACATCGTCAAACCCTACACAGAACGCATGTTATACACATGTCAAACCCTACACTGGCAGAACGTACGTTATACACACGTCACGCCCTACATAGAACGTACGTTATACTACACACATCAAACTCCTACATAGAACGTACCGTTATATACACAATCGTCATACCCTACAGAGAACGTACGTTATACACACGTCAAACACCCAGACGCAATCGTACAAGGTCGACAAAGAACGGAACAGAAGGAACCATATGCTCAACTCAAATCCGCTTGAATTTCAAAATATGTTAGGGTTCGTAACTTCACATTTTTAATTTGTAAATATTTTGTTTGAGCTTGTCAACGCATAACCTAAAACGGAAATTCGAGGATTAAAACTCCAGACGTAGTTACTGAAGCTCTGTGGTATGATAAGATGCACCAGCGACCTTATAACCCTGTACAATAATGACGATGCATATTAACTAGCCCTAATCATTTATCTTGAATAAATGTTAATTGTAGGCTTCTTCCTAATCATAAGGATATAAAATCGATAAACTCAAAATTGAATCATCTGTTAAATTCTGTTTAGTCTGCCATCTACATAATGAAGTTTCAGAAACAACAACTTGAGATGTTCGTCCACCAGTTTCCTCATCACGTACATTACTGAATTTTTACCCGGGATGAAATAGTTTCTACTTTGGCTTCTAGATTCAAATAATTGATTTTCACAACTATTCATATGAGGTCCGTATCTTGATTCCCTTATCGGTTAGATTTCTATCAGCTTTGGTGAGTCATAGATAAAATCCGATCAAAATCAGATAAATACAAATAATGTGCATGGATTTCTCACGGTTTAGAAGTGATTGGGAGATATTACATATCAAATATTAACATGACAGACATAAACGGGCAGGAAGAGGAAATACATAGATAATAATACAAAGATCTTACAGGTGTGTGTGTGTGTGTGTGTGTGCGTGTGTGTGTGTGTGAATACAGTTTTACGCCGCAATCAGCAATATTCCAGCTATATGGCGGCAATCTGTAGATAATCGAGTCTAGACCAGACAATCCAGTGAGCAACTGCATGATCATCGATCTACGCAATTGGGATACGATGACATGTGTCAACCAAGTCTGACCATCCGATCCCGTTAGTCGCCCCTTACATCAAGCATGGGTTACTGAAGATCAATTATAACCCAGATCTTCACGGGTCATACCTTACAAAGAAAGTGTATAGAAAATGTAGAGATGATATAGAGAATATACATAGACAACACATAAACCATACCGAGAAAATACATGGACATGAATAGGTCATAAACAGAAAATACAGAGACAATACATACATATGGCATAGATCATACATAGAAATTGATAGATCATGTTGAGAAGTTACATAGACAATTAACAGATCATACGGAGAAATACAAAGACAATGCACATATCATACTTAGAAAATACATATATATAACGCATAGATCATGCATATAAAATACATATACTGAACCGCATAAAAAAACGCAAGTTTTTCTAAATTAAGAAATATTCGACAAAACATTGTTAAATATTATAGTGTAACTACACACTGGTTACCGTTGTTGTAAAAAAACAGTTTGTTAATGTTCAGGTTCTGTTTGGTGATTTCTCTTGGATATTGCACATCGCCAAAACGCAGCAATTGAATTGGCCGTGGGATGTGGTTGCAGAAGTTTGTCATCAAAATCATGATGCGCATTATGTCACGGACACATCGGTGTATGAAAATGCCCTCAAATCAGTTTGAAATCACTCCCGACAAACGCCCACCAAGAATGCCAAGGTTAACGACGCAAGAGAGGGAACAAGCCATCGGCCGTCTTGAAGCTGGACAGAGTGTTGCAGATGTTGCCAATGCATTCGATGTGCACATAACGACCATCTGCCGTCTTCAGGAACGTTTTGCTGCTACACAGACCACTGCTGACCGCCAACGTCATGGACGTCCGAGAGTCACACCACAACGGCAAGATCGACACATTCAACGTTCGCACATGGAGGATCGATTCTTATCTGCCAACGAGACTGCCCGACAGACTGCGACAACCGAGCAATAAGCGGAGATACAGTTCGGCGCAGACTCAGAGCAGTCCACCTCCGTTGTCGTCGTCCAGCTCGACGTGCTATCGTCACACCGAGACATCGTCAGAATCGTCTGCAGTGGGCTACGTTGCATCGAAACTGGCGTCAACAACAGTGGAGATTGGTATTGTTCTCTGATGAAAGTCGGTTTTGCATTTGTCATGCTGACGGCCGAGTTCGAATATGGCGAAGAGGAGATGAACGCTTTGCTGACGAATGTGTAATGGAAGTTGATGCATGGGGAGGTCCAAGCGTTATGGTATGGGCAGTGATGGCCTGAATCAGAGATTAGGGCCGTTATTCTTCCAGAATATTGCGCCAGGTCGGGGAAATGGAGTCACTGCCCAACGTTATATCGACCAGATCCTCCGACCCCAGGTTGTGCCATTTTGTGTCCAACACCAGCAACACATTTTCCAGCAAGATAATGCCAGGCCCCACACTGCTAGAGTCACTCAGGCATTTTTCCAGCAGCACAACATCCGACTACTGCCATGGCCTGCTGTCAGTCCCGATTTAAACCCGATCGAACACTTTGGGACGAGCTGCAGAGACGACTGAATGAAGTCCGACCACGTCCGACAACTGCAGCAGAACTCCAGGCAGCCATCATCCGGACATGTGCAGCAATGCCTCGATTTTGTCTTCAATGCAAAGTAAACCAACAATGTTCCATGCATTGACTGACATGTCCCAATAATCATGCAATAAGTGTTGATTGTTATTATGTACCTGTTTTCATGCATTTAGTTTTTCTAAATCTGGATTTTGACTTGCGTTTCTTTTGCGGTTCAGTATATATAAAACGGATAGATCATACAGAGAAATCACATAGATAACACACGCCCCCTGTCACGGTAAGGAATTATCTCCTGTACACAATGTGTGTTCACTGAGGGATGTGTACAAGATGTCACTGATCTTGGGATTTCCGCAAAACTATATCACATATACATTAAAGCCCAATTTGTTGATGTCCTGCTAATATCTAATTACATATGGAAGTTCTTGCTGTGATTTACCTTTGGAAACCCGTGCATTCTTTCTCAGTTTAATCATTTCATATAACCGTCTGACTTAGGTGTTGTATCATATGGCATCATATTGGCATCATATTGGCATCCTTACCGCAATCCAACATAATACACTACGTCTACATTGTTACAATATACATTTTGTGTAGCTATGTCTGTTATGACCATGTTTTCCATGATGCGAACATAAACCTGTCTCTGAAATCAAGATTAGCTTTAAAAAAATATCAATAGAGAGAACCAAAACCTAAATACTCAAAAACATTCCAGGTAAAACACGCAGTTACTCCCAACAGAAAGTTGGGCGGGGATCAGTTCTGATTTTGACACTTCCGTGAAAGGTCTGAAAATCGTTCTTTTTCAGTCTGTTGTACAAACTAAGCTCTCTAATCTTGCTTCAATTTCGTATTTGTGATCGGAGATAAACTGCCCCATTTCTGATGTCCCATCCGCCGTGATATTGCTGGAATGTTGCTCAAAACGGGGGTACAGCTAAACTCACTCACTCACGTACTACTTTTGAAAGGTGTAAGCCTCCGTTCTAGTTCCTGTCTATATTTGAGCTAACGTGTGACATGTAGAGACGACCCAAAATAAAACGTAATATGCTGGTGAATCGTCACTGCTATGTTTTCTTTCTTTTTTTTCTTTTCTTTTTTTTCTTTGCGGTTGTTAGTATAAGACAGAAACATGTGTTAAGTCCTCAATTGTAACATGATTTCGAATGTGAATGCATTTAAATATATCCCAATTGTACACGTTATTACAACACATGCTTGCCCTGTCATGCTGGCAGAACTCGGGTTGTTTTCAGCTGCTCACACGCTCGTCAAGAATGCACACACATTCTTATAAACATAGCCCAAACTTCCCGGCAACAGCAGCCATAAGTGTGTTTTATGACTACTTAATATCTTTCCTCGGGAATGCATTGACGTTTACATAACCCACAGTCAAAGCTGTATTTGACACAGGGTTATTGGGAAGAACATTTGCATAGACCCATTTACAATTAGAACACTACCACAGTTCAGGCTGGGGTTACAGACAGACACTGTACTGGTACAGAACTAACGTCGTACACTGGAGTAGATACTCCCTGTACTATCAAAGTAGATTCAGGTGGTATACCTTTGTAAGCATTGAAATTGTCTTGAAATTTGGCGTGCAAGGGAACATTTTCCACGAGCATTACTTGTGTTAGTGTACTGCTAGTTATAAATGTCCTTGCTATTATTTATCTTCACCACCACCACTACCATCATCACCACCACTGCTGCTACTACTACGACGACGAATACTACTACTTCCACCAATACTACCACTAACACCACCACCTACATCATCGACACCAACACCTTCTCCGTATGCGACTGTTACTACAACAGCAGTTTGTTTTGTTGTTTGTGCTGCATATTGTAAAGGTTGGTTTCAGGTCAATCGATCTTGTCCATCTTAGTATACTGCTAATGGGATCGATCGTCACCATTATTGGTGTGCTGGTACATGTTATTACATGCTGTCAAACATTGACCATAATTCCACAGCACGCTGACATCGTCCAGTTTTGCACTTAATGGCGCAGGCGCCGCATCCCTTGAACCATTGAAATTAAGTAAATCACAACATTGACAGCAGTTCTACAGACTGATCAACCATCCTTGAAAGTTTCAAAGTCAGGAATAGTGTTCTTCGCACGTGACTGACGCTCGTACGAACTACACGTGCAAACTATATGTCTCTGGGTGTGGTTTAGTGGTACGTTTCACAGATATTAACGTTCTTGCGTTGCATTGGCTGGTGTCTTCAACACTTCTCTTTGTTTTATCTTTGGTATTGATATTCACAGTTCACGATCCCCAACATGTTTGAGAGAGTGAGTGAGTATGGTTTTACGCTGCTTTTAGCAAACTTTCAGCAATATCACTGCGCCTTTGGCGTGACGAGCGAACGCTTTAACCACTGGGCTACCCCACTTCCCCTGTTTCAGAGAGTATACGGAGTATCTATTCTAAGAACGGATAAACTCAGTAACAGGATAATGTTGTGTGTCGTTCATATTTGTATTAGACGAGTGCCTCTCCTACTGCAGTTGTTTAGCTCAAAATCAATGGCGCACACGTTTACCCACATTCACACACGTACGCACAATATTTCTAACATTATATGTGTGTCGACCACTGACACGAACTAGAGAATGCATGTGGAAATTCTATAGACACAACTACCAGGAAAACGGTGTCACGATCTCTGACTGTTGTCACTACCATGGTCACCAAGCCGTCATACACCAAACACGCATATGTACATTATCAACATATCGGCAACCACCAAAATATGTTTTCTTTTCAATGTTCTTTATGTTATCACTGTTGAAATGATCAATGGAATCTGTGAATCATTTCAAACCAGGTGTGAAGTTAGGCTATATCTGAACGCCACATTGAAACACAATTCATGTACTTTTTCAATATTGCTGCATTTCCATACTCCCCAGACCTATGCATAGGATTCTATTGATACAGTTAAACCCACGACATAGTGACAGAGGCGGCGTTTCCTGTACGGCGGGCGGGGTGTATAATGAACACACCACGTGTACGACTGCATAATCTCAGCTCATAGCTGAAACTAAAACTTGAATATCAACTAGACAACTACTGATGAAAATATGTAAAGTATAGGCTTCAAGGAAAACTAGCAAAATGCATTCATCATTTGACATAACAACGTATGGTATGGATTTGCAACTTCTTTATTATTTACAACACAACGTTTCTGGACTAGGTCTTGACCCTTCATCAGGACTGGTGAATGACAGAATATGATTTACAAACAAAGTATATAATGCGTACAGGAATCCCAGGATTAATGATTAAGCCTCTATTCATCATTTTGGGTATTTCGTACTGGGAGTGAAATGTTAAATAGCAATGTCTAGACTATACCTATGTTAAGCAAACTTTATGGATTGCATTCTTTTATTTCGTGAGTGCGACGTTTCGATACAGATTCTTGTACCGTTGTCAAGCAGGAATAGTTGACAAGGGTACCAGAATCTGTATCGAAACGTCGCACTCACGAAATAGAAGAAGTTGTTATCCATAAAGTTTCTTTAATATTGTACTTCCCAACTTCTAACATATCACCCAAAGAAGTCAGACTATAGCTACTGCTATGTAAAGTCTCTAATAGGGACAAGTGAACCACACATTGGGAGGAATGCCAACTTCATTGTTTTGAGGAAAGGCACGTTCCGCAGAACATTCTGGAAGGAGAAAGAATAATATGGCCACTTATATAGTCTTGAACATAACAGCAGGGACACGTTCTAAGCGCATTTAGCATGATGGACACTATAACCCCGGATATACCACGCTGCGAGTAGTCATTTGACTTATCCCACCGGGTACCCTTTTTCTGCTAGGTTAACAGAGGCAATTTTGAACAAACTCACTTGCCTGAGGTGAGGCGCCATGTGTGCTTCGTTGTTGCACAAGACAGAAGTTCTAGAAACTCTCAGGAATCAAGCTGCCAAACACGGTCCCCCATCCAAGGACTCCCTGTGACAAACGTTGCTGAAATTCAACTGATTCGTGAACTGAACTCTATGCACATGACCACACACCACCACAATTCACTCCGAAACATCGTGTTACTTATAACGAAGAAGCTGGTATTCCCTGTACAATTACTTGTACGGTTGTTTATAGAGAGAGCTATAGATGTCATTAATATTTACTGTAATAGCATGCAATCAATATAACTATTATTTTACCATTTTATGTGTTTGTCGCATCATCATCATACTATATATCTATACTACCACTATCTTAAATGTATAATGTCACAATATCGTGAATATTGTCACATGTGTTTTTATTCAGAGACCACAAAGACATACGAATGCGTCATCGCAGGATCTATTTTCGTGCATCACATGTACAGATGTGGCAGGGTCGGGAGTACAGCCATGTACACATTGCACAGCTTCGTTTCGCCAAGAGGGAAATACACACTGAATTAATGTTGTTCTATATACATAATGAGTAAAGTTGAATATCACGAAGTCGAAAGAGAAAGTTAATTAAAATTGCAGAAAAGTTTCAACCCTGGCTATGAACACATTTACATCCTTCTCAGTCTCCACGATTTTCACCAGGATGTGGAAACACTGTTCAGTTGCATTAAATGACATTAAAAACTAGATTCTAATGCTGTCAGAGAGTTGATTAAAATATTATCCGTATTACATCAGCGATTTCAATCCTTGGAAAGGCTCACATACACATTGAGAGGAAGTTTGAAATATTTCCACCAGACTTGCCTCACACCAATCATGTCGGGCAGGTTAAAGACCGTCAGCATGCCTTTGATAGTAAATTAAATGCATACATGCAAACATGAGTCGTCTTGAACATTCCAATTATTGTGATCGACCCATTTGATCCTCTTTGCATGTTCCCTCCCCAATACAAAGAAAAGCTACATGCCACATGCATGTCAGTTGTAAATCAACTGTACGTCGTCTTTGTAGATCACGACACTTTCTCTATTTACAATTTTCCCCGGCAGTAGGGAGAATACATCTGAAGAAAGGTGTCCAGCATAAGGAGATCTCAACTGCAGAGAGATCACAACTGCAGGCAAACCTCAACTGCAGCGAGATAATCACTGTAGGTAAACCTCAACTGCGGGGAGATCATAACTGTAGGTAAATCTCAACTGCAGGGAGATCATAACTGTAGGTAAACTCCAACTGCAAGAAGATCATAACTGTAGATAAACCTCAACTGTGGGGAGATCATAACTGTAGATAAACCTCAACTGCGGGGAGATCATAACTGTAGGTAAACATCAACTACAGGGAAATCAAAACTGTAAGTAAACCTCATCTGTGGGGAGATCTGAACTGTTGGTAAATCTCAACTGCTGGGAGATCTCAACTGCGTGGAGATCATAACTGTAGGTACACCTCAACTACAGGGAGATCATAACTGTAAGTAAACCTCAACTGCAAGGAGATCATAACTGTAAGTAAACCTCAAATGCAGGGAGATCATAACTGTAGGTAAACCTCAACTGTAGGGAGATCATAACTATAGGTAAACCTGAACTGCGGGGAGATCTCAACTGCGGGGAGATCATAACTGTAGGTACGCCCAAACTGCAGGGAGATCATAACTGTAGGTAAATCTCAACTGCGGGGAGATCAGAACTGTAGGTAAACCTCAACTGCAAGGAGATCATAACTGTAGGTAAACCTCAACTGCGGGGAGATCATAACTGTAGGTACGCCCAAACTGCAGGGATATCATAACTGTAGGTAAATCTCAACTGCAGGGAGATCATAACTGTAGGTAAATCTCAACTGCAAGGAGATCATAACTGTAGGTAAACCTCAACTGCGGGGAGATCCTAACTGTAGGTACGACTCAACTGCAGGGAGATCATAACTGTAGGTACACCTAAACTGCAGGGAGATCATAACTGTAGGTAAACCTCAACTGCAGGGAGATCATAACCATTGGTAAACCTCAACTGCGGGGATATCTCAACTGCAGGGAGATAAGAACTGTAAGTAAACCTCAACTGCAGTGAGATCATACCTGCAGGTAAACCTCAACTGCAGTGAGATCATAACTGTATTTAAACCTCAACTGCGGGGGGATCGCAACTGCAGGAAGATCATAACCGTAGGTAAACCTCAACTGCAGGGAGATCATAACTGTAAGTAAACCTCAACTGCAGGGAGATCATAACTGTAAGTAAACCTCAACTGCAGGGAGATCATAACTGTAGGTAAACCTCAACTGTAGGGAGATCATAACTATAGGTAAACCTGAACTGCGGGGAGATCTCAACTGCATGAGATCAGAACTGTAGGTACACCCCAACTGCAGGGAGATCATAACTGTAGGTAAATCTCAACTGCAGGGAGATCATAACCATTGGTAAACCTCAACTGCGGGGAGATCTCAACTGCAGGGAGATAAGAACTCTAAGTAAACCTCAACTGCAGTGAGATCATAACTGTAGGTAAACCTCAACTACAGTGAGATCATAACTGTATTTAAACCTCAACTGCGGGGGGATCGCAACTGCAGGAAGATCATAACCGTAGGTAAACCTCAACTGCAGGGAGATCATAACTGTAGGTAAACCTCAACTGCAAGGAGATCATAACTGTAGATAAACCTCAACTACAGGGAGATCATAACTGTAGGTAAACCTCAACTGTAGGGAGATCATAACTATAGGTAAACCTGAACTGCGGGGAGATCTCAACTGCGGGGAGATCATAACTGTAGGTACACCCCAACTGCAGGGAGATCATAACTGTAGGTAAATCTCAACTGCAGGGAGATCATAACCATTGGTAAACCTCAACTGCGGGGAGATCTCAACTGCAGGGAGATAAGAACTGTAAGTAAACCTAAACTGCAGTGAGATCATAACTGTAGGTAAACCTCAACTACAGTGAGATCATAACTGTATTTAAACCTCAACTGAGGGGGGGTCACCAACTGCAGGAAGATCATAACCGTAGGTAAACGTCAACTGCAGGGGAGATCATAACTGTAGGTAAACCTCAACTACAGTGAGATCATAACTGTATTTAAACCTCAACTGAGGGAAGTCGCAACTGCAGGAAGATCATAACCGTAGGTAAACGTCAACTGCAGGGAGATCATAACTGTAGGTAAACCTCAACTGCAGGGAGATCAGAACTGTAGGTAAATCTCAACTGCAGGGAGATCATAACTGTAGGTAAACCTCAACTGCGGGGAGATCATAACTGTAGGTACGACTCAACTGCAGGGAGATCATAACTGTAGGTACACCTAAACTGCATGGAGATCATAACTGTAGGTAAACCTCAACTGCAGGGAGATCAGAACTGTAGGTAAACCTCAACTGCAGGGAGATCATAACTATAGGTAAACCTGAACTGTGGGGAGATCTCAACTGCAGGGAGATCATAACTGTAGGTACACCCCAACTGCAGGGAGATCATAACTGTAGGTAAATCTCAACTGCAGGGAGATCATAACCATTGGTAAACCTCAACTGCGGGGATATCTCAACTGCAAGGAGATAAGAACTGTAAGTAAACCTCAACTGCAGTGAGATCATAACTGTAGGTAAACCTCAACTACAGTGAGATCATAACTGTATTTAAATCTCAACTGCGGGGGGGGTCG